AACTCATATTGAGTCTTAAGGATGAACCTGACTCATACAGTGAAAATTAAATTACCATTTACTCTGGCAGAATATATTTTTAAAGACTTTCATCAGAAAAAGTTAAAAAAAATATTTTTCATTGTTTTTTTTTCCAAAACCAGGGTAGAGTAATCCAGAAACTCCACAGAGAAAGCATTGCATGGACATTGCACAGGATGAAACGAGACATATTTGTCAAATGTACATTTAGCCATCTGTTTCTTTAGGTATCATGTATTTGGCAATTTTCATCTTCCTCCATTAAATCAAAATTGCAATCAATTTATCTAATTTATAAGGGAAAATCTTGCAGCCTATAGAGGCAGATTTTTATGATACTCTTGCTTAAAGAGGAGATTTCTGGTGGGCAGCCATGGCTATCTCAAAGAGCACGGGTTTTTAAAACAATTATTTCTTCTTTCATGGTTTGAGATTATAATATAAATACATGCAGGCATTTTAAGAATCCAAGAACTCCAATAGAAGGCTAGTGGGTGATAGCACTCTTGAAGCCTCTATGAATTTCATAGGAGCCAAACATGTATAGCAAACCCTACAGAAGCTACCATCCTTTATTTCCCTTACCGTCTAATCTTCCCTTCCGTGTTTTCTCTTTGTCCCTTTGCATGTGCATCTCTACTGGACACTTTTCTAGGTATCTGCCTTGTATACTTTTTTGCATCCATTTTCCTTTCCTCACTTCTTTTTTTCAGCCCCCTTCCTTTTGTTCCAGCCCTGTTTTCTTGTCTTCATTCCTCTTGAATTGCTCATTATTATACCAAACTAAAATGGGCATCAAGATTCACCAATAGAATTCTTAAACAGCAAGTAAGTTGCCTTTATAAAGGAAATAAGACTTCACAGCCAGGCAGCAGTATACTTATGACATAGAGTTGAAAATTTCTTTTCCCTGAACAGCCCTTACCAAAATCAGGTTTCCTTTGTTCTCCCCTGCCAGCAATATGCTAAAGTTTGAACAAGAGTAACATGTTTGAATTTTGGTTTGTGCCCCATTATTTCTTTAAACATGCTACTCGATGAGAAAGAGAAGCTATGTATCAATTTTCAGATGTGGTTCTAAGATTCTAGTTTTCTAAGTTAGTGTGGTGCAAATGTGTCACAGATACATTCTATTCCTGGGGTCACAATGTCCAGGAATGGCAGAACAAGGAATTTCCTAATGGCCTAAACTTCTCAGAAAGAATTAAAAAAATAATTCACACACACTTCATTTCAGTAGTAGTGCTTAATTGTGTATTTAATTACTTGTGCTCCAAAATGGTTGTCTATAATAGGAAGCCCTGTCACCTCGGTAACTTCCCACTACTTAACTGATTAACAGACTCTGTTTCAGGAAGCAAATGAATGGCTCTACAGGTGCGCGTCAGTCATTTCGGTTGCGTGCAATAATATTGTTTAGGATGAGCCTTGTTGTATCTAATGTTGTGCCTCTTTTCCTTTGCTTTATTTCTTCTTAGCAGATGCTCTCACAAACCTCTTGATTCCTTGATAGTTGAAGTCTTATTTTCTTAATGTATTCATTGAAGTGCTATTTAACATTAGATATTAACTTTGACAGATGTTAATGCTGCTTCTCAATTAGGTGAAATGTCTTCTTGGGAAGATGCCAGATTAAACTGAATACATTTGAATTTGGTATGTGAACTAAATTACTGTTTAAACCTCTCATATCGATCATATGGTTGATGGGGCAGCCAGCTGATGTGCATAAATGGTTTGGTTATTTTCCCTAGTACTGTTTAAACATTTGAAAATGGCTTCCTATCATTTTAAAGAGAAATTTCATGATCAGTTTACTACACGATCCTCCTGTTTGTTTCTTAAACTCCCTAGAATTTAAATTTGCAGATGCTTGTTGGGTATACGATATCTTCAGTGGACAATATTAGTAATTTATTCTTGTAATTTCTAGTAGCCAAGAAATCTATGAATGCTTTTCATTTGGCTACTAATGAATGCTACTGAATGATTATCTATCTTCTTTTAGGCAGAGACTCTACAGGTTTGAGATTAAAAAAAAAAAGCCAAGTAAGGAGCTAGAGGGATGGCTCAGTGGTTAAGAGCACTGGCTGCTGTTTTGGAGGACCAGGGTTCAAATCCTAGCACTCACATGGCAGCTCACAACTATCTGTAACAACAGTTTCCAGGGGAATCTGACACAGGCATATATACAGGCAAGATACCAATATACATTAAACAAATTAAGAAGTCTTCATCTGCTTCTGTTTCAAACTTTGTTGGGCAGTGGGGGTGCACGCCTTTAATCCCAGCAGGCAGAGGCAGGTGGATCTCTGTGAGTTCCAGCCCATCCTGGTATACAGAGTGAGTTCTGGGACAGCCAAGTCTATTATACGGGGAAACCCTGTCTTGAAAAACAAAACAAAAAAAAAAGTAAGACAAGTATTTCGTTTTCAAATTTAAAACTATTATCTATTCAAAGTTGAAGGCTAATGTGTGGATACTAATTTTGGACTTGAGCCTAAAAATCTGGGTTATAGGTTTACCTCCATTTTTAGCTTAGCTGAGTCACCTCATATGTCATTGCCCAACTTCAAAACACACCATCATCCTCTCCAAAGCCCTAGGTTTAACAGTGTGTATGGTGTATTCTAAAAAGGGCTTCGTCGAGATAAGCTCAATTCTCTTGGGTATCAGCTATCCACACTGGCCTGACAGCTTAGAGGTGTGTCCCCAGTGGAATTTTTATCTCTTTAGGATCCCTTAAATCCTTGCTAGGCTTTCATTGCCAGTGTATTTCTCTAGGAATTTGCATTGAGAACCATTGATGTTTCTCTGCTCACAAGTTGAATGAAAAGTTACTTGGAGCCGGGCGGTGGTGGCGCACGCCTTTAATCCCAGCACTCAGGAGGCAGAGGCAGGCGGATCTCTGTGAGTTCGAGACCAGCCTGGTCTACAAGAGCTAGTTCCAGGACAGGCTCCAAAACCACAGAGAAACCCTGTCTCGAAAAACCAAAAAAAAAAAAAGTTACTTGGAGATGGGAGAAAAATGCGAATACCAACATTTTTGTTTGAATTCTTTGATACAATCAGGCGATTTCCATTATGACTAATGTCCCTTTGTTATTTCAAAGCTTTGAAGCATTGTGTTTGAATCCTAGGGTACTGATGCAGCACTGAGTGTTTAATGAGTGCACTGTTTCATGTGGGGAGTCAGTGAATTTCTGGGGATAGATGATGTTAATGATTATAAATATACTTACTCTACCAAAACATAGATACTTAAAACAATTCAAGTCTTAAGTCTTATGCATATTTTACCACAACAAAACCACCTCACTAATTCCAAAAAATGTATTTACATGGTTCTAATGTATAAAGGTTTTTTCTCTTTCTTTTGTTCTTTTTAACAGGAAAACGGAAAAATATGATTGGCCTTTTAATTACACCAGGGATACATCTCCATAATGTGTTATCATTTTGTTTCCGTATTTGTGTGTAAAAGGGGTGCTTAAATATAAGTGTGTCTTCAACTTGCCTTGGAATGAGAGCTTGAGAATATTTTTAAGAATTTTATTTGTCAGGAGGAAAATAAAGAGAGCCAAGCCATAGGAAATTTATGTTGTGAATTATAAAATAGTGGACTGCTTCTTTTGGAGTAAGAGTTTGCAATTTCCTGACTTTCTTGGTTGTTTGTGGCCTCTTGAATGACGTGGATATTTATACTTTATAAATATATAACATCTTTGCATCTTCTTGAGAACATTTTCTTTTGTATGGTGGGATAGATGGAGTACCAGAATGCACTGAAAACATAAATGCAGTAAGTTTCAGAATGTCAAGAAAGAAGGAAAATTTTTTTAAAAAAATGCATAACAAGAGCCTATTTCAAAAATTCAAAACATGGAAGAAGAGTGGATTTGGCAATGAGTCACTTAAAAGGGAATTATTTCCAAAGACCGTTGGACTTCGTTATGTTTCTGAGTTTGTAATCTGTGAGAATGAAGCAGTGAGAACGTTTTCTAAGCCTGGCTGCTATATAGGCTGTTTGATTATGGATGCCTTTTCAATAGTTGCAGTTATACTTTAGATAATCAGAGCTATGTTCCGCTTAACCAGGAAATGATTTCTTTAAAAACTACAAGGAACATGGTGTGTGACAAGCAAAGAGAAAGTAAGGGGGTAGGGGTGGGGGCACCATTGCTTTATCTCTTCTACTCTTAGAAGAAGACCATTTTATCCTTTATAAGGGTCTCCAGAGTTTGGCACAGTGCTACTTGATTAAAGGGTCTAATCAGAGTTGATGTATGCAGAAACTCCGAGCTCCGCTGATGGGGTTAATAACCTCACAATCTCCTAATCAGACCTCTGCTATACAGATGAGCCCTCTTTCTTGTAGTTCCAGGTTCTTGAGTCCTGTCTTCAGTTGTCCTTTATTGGACACATGAAATCCTTGTTTTTAGTCTACAATTTGAATGATTGTTTTCATTTTATTTGATTTTATTTCCTTGTTGAAAAAAATTCATCTTTTTGCGTTATTGTTCTGTGGTAACTGTTGTAGCTTGGATTAACTTTTGTATGTTTTCAATGTAATTGTATATGTAAAAAGACAGCTGTGTGATCATGCATACATTTCTTCTTCCAGTCGTTGATTCTGAGGCCTTCTAGCATGTTTCCACTATTCTAGCTTTTAGTCTCCTCAAATGTGAAATAAAGCATGTTCTGCTTTGACCAGTAACATGGAGAGACTAAAACTTGCTTAGGAGAGTGAACATTGACTCTTTTCAGTAGTCACAGGCTTGGCCAGTAAACAATCTATTTAATGACAAATAGTGATTTATAAAATCTCTAGGTTTCTAAAAAATACCGTGGATGATCCCTTGCACCTTTAATACATTTCTGATTCTTAATTATTTACCTAGTTGAAATGGTTGTCAGTATTTGAACTTAGGAACCTTCACATCCAGTAATGGCTTTAATCTCTGCTCTGTCTTCAACAGTGCCCTTAAAGACAGCCGTTTTCCACCAATGACAAGGGATGAGCTGCCACGGCTTTTCTGCTCGGTGTCTCTTCTCACTAACTTTGAAGATGTCTGTGATTATTTGGACTGGGAGGTAAGATTATAATATACTTTACATGAAGGTAACTCCTGAGTAGACGTTACCAATTCAGTCCAGAATATAAGGCTTCCTGTCCATTCTAATACTGAATTAAAGCCCCTCATTGAACAATGAGATACAAGTGAAAAGTTTATTTTTTTGGCCAAATACTCTGTGGCATTATATTCTCCAAATTGAACATGGTGTTCTCTTTTATCCTCCTTCCTCACCTAAGTATCCAATAAGGCTGTTAATAAGTAGTGAGAAAGACTGACTGGACTCTGTTTCTCCCGTCTTTCCATTCCACTGCAGTATGCTGTGACCGCCACTGAATGATTAGGCAGTCAGACAACACATGTCAGAAAGAAGCAGTAAGAGAGTTAGCAAAATGCACCATGTTGGGGGAAGGCACTTTGTGACAGTGACAGAGTATTAGTAAACTAGAACTAAATAATGTGAGTTCATTCTTGACTACATTAATATACATACTTGAAATTACACTGAAAATACTGTTCTTTCTAGAGTATGTCTGTGCCTTGTTATTATCAGAGAAACCGATGTTGATTGTATTTTTCTGATTTACTATGTACAGTTAAAAACTTAGGGTGATTTACTTTGGCAATTGAAATAGCTGAACAGAGGCCATGCCTGTATTCCTAAATACAGCTGTGTTACAGGCAGTGTTCTGCATGTACAGAAATGTCAAGACAGGATTTCTATCATGATGCAGAGAGAAACTTACATGCAGGATATGAAGAAACTAGTGGGAAAAGACACAAGGGCCATTTGTTGATAAATAGCATTCTCTCACACACCACTTATAAACGGAATTACTGTATCCTTACATGAGCTTTTCTTTCTGCTGCTGTTTTCGAAGAATCATTCCTATTGTTACTGAGACTGCCTTGTAACCAGATCATTGTCCTCATAGTTAACTGGAGTTGAATTTAGTTTTGATTTTTCCATGATTGCTCATGAGACTCCAGATGGTTTACTCCACTACTGTTCACTACTCTGTGTACAGAGTAATATTCTGGGGATTCATCTCAGAAGATCTCTGATATGAATTATTTTTGTGACACCAGAGCTATTTTATAACTTTTTGCATAGAAGAGGATGAAAGTGTCCTTTCTGGGTTTTGTGATAGGCTTTTTTGTGTTATCAGAATATGAAAGCATCTTATGACCTTTATAAAGAAAGAAATGAAATAATTTAATAACACTTATACTAGAAAATTTGAATAGTGTCAACTCTTTTATAGAATGAAAATTTCCTTCTTTATTTTTTGTGACATTTGACATTCCTATTTGATGGTCCCTTCCTTTTCCTTCCCTCCTTCTCTTCATTTTCTCTGTCAACGGTTTTGTTTGTTTGCCACCCTATGCCCAGGCTGCCCTTGAATGCAAGATCCTCTTACCCTCTGCTGGCTGAATACCAGGATTGAATATGTGCCCCATGACACCAGGCCTGTTTAGAGTTTCTTTTTTGAAGAGAAGTTGACCAGTATTATGGAGCTATCTCCCAGTAGTTTTTACTTAACGGCTCTGATTCATGTTCCCACTGATGAACACTTAGTATGTTCAGTGGTTACATTTATTGTTTTAGGACTGTTACTTTCTTTTCTCTAGCCAGAGTTTTAATTTTTGCTTTGTATATTGGAGAATGTAATGTGTATAGTGGTGGCATGGGGAGTTAGAATGGGAGAAGGTCTCAGATCAAGGGGATGTCCAAGCTACACATACCCTTTTATCCTTACTTGCAGCCACTGAGTTGAAAATACAGTTTGAGAATGCATAAACACATTCATTTTATTCATATGTACATATTGAGTAAATGTATGTATGTTTCATGGGAAAGAAAAAACTGAAAAAAAAGAAGAAAAGTAACTGATGAATAGGTATGAATAAACAGTTAATAACATCCCCTTCAGTTCACATCAAGAACTCTCAACAGCAAAAATTCACTTTGCTGTTTGGCTTTGATATTCATAAGATGTATCTCTTTTCTGCTAGGTGGACGCGGGAAGTATAGCACTTGAAATATTAGCACTATGTATTCTATCAAGTGCTATTTTTCTTTTGCGGTCACCTTCTGCCAGCTTGAATTTCTACAAGATTCTATATTCTTTTGACTTGGTATTTGGGAGCATAAATATTTGTCTTATTATGTAACATTCTCTCGTTGAATTAACACAACACACAGGATTTTGTACTTTTAGTATATCAGCATTTGAAAGTGAATTACACACAGCTATGATGGCTATGCCAGGAGGGAGAGACTGTCTCTTTCTGTTATCTCATTGCTGTTAAATAAGACAGTTGAAATTTACAAGAAATACATCTCAAAGAGTAACAATTTCAATTTTAACTCTAAGAAAGTGAGTTAGTTTTAAGTGCACTATTGTGGTTAAAAATAGAATGCAGTTCTTTTGGGAAAGATAGTTTAAAGGTTGACTTTTCTAATTATGAAAACCATTATAGCTTTAAACAATGTGTCAAAGTGAAAGTAAAAATATTTTTAATTATAGGCTGATACAGTTCCATTTCTAGATATATGCCCAAATTAATTTAAGAAAGATATTGAAACCAAAACTTAAATAAGAATACTCATAGCAGTACTTTTCACAATAACCATAAAGTGAAAACCCAACTATTTCTTACCAATAGTATATCCATATCAGCCATAATCCATGATATAACATGATGAACCTAGGAAACATCATGCTACATGAAAGAAGCCAGACATGAAAGGCCATGCACCATATGATTCCACTTAAGTGAAATGTCCAGAATAGACAAACCTATAGGAAGGTTATGGATTAATGCTTGTCAGAACTGGGAAAAAAGGTGAATGGGAAGTGAGTGCCTAGTGGGTACAGCATCTCCATTGGCAGTGGGGAGTTTTGGAATCAGAGGTGGTTATATAAGAGGAGAGATACATTTAATGTCACTGAATTGTGTGGTTTAATAATTATTAAAAGCTAAAAACTAAAAGCCTATCAAAATAGTAAATTTTACTTGTATTTTACCAAAATAAAAATAGTAAAATAAATTTTACAAATACACACACAGAGAATCTTTAGTAATTTTGACTTATTGAAGAAAACACTAAAAAATTTAAAGTATAAAGAAATATAAGTCCCTAATAATCTCATCATTTGAATACATCAAGGCCTTAGTAGCATCTGTGGGCTCTACAAGCACAGATCCAACAAACTGAAAGTGTTTGGAAAACATACATCTTACCAAATATGTACATTAATTAGTCTTGTCACTGGACTTGAGTATCCTAAACTATGTTTCTTTACCTTCTATGTATAAATGCTTTTTGTACATTTGTGTAAATTGTTTTTGTGCATGCTTAGTCATATATATGATTATTATGTAAAAGAAAATTATGAAGATGACCTTATCCTTGCATATTAGTTAATTATATATATAATATCCTTGCATATTAGTTAATTATATATTTTTGATTTTTCATTTTGAGAAATCAGACTATACTATGAAAGCTATAACCTTCTCTTTGAGAAATTTTACATGGTCGAGTAATTAGAGCTCTTTCCCCGGAATAAAATACCATATTTGCTGTGTTTAATTTTAACATGAAATGCAAAGTCCTGCATGTACTTATTCCTTAGGGGAAAACAAAGTTATTAAAGAATTATCAAGTTAAAAAAATAAAATAGTACATTTGATATAAGCAGAAGTTGGAATAGGGCAACTGACAAAATATATTACTTCAGTAAAATCCCTTCCTAAAGGGATCTCTTAAAGGTTTGAAAAGCGAGAAATTTGTGGAAAATATTCATTAACTGATATGTTGTCATAACCACCTGCAAGGCTAAAATGATTGTTAAATGAGGAAAATTCCTCCCTCAGGGAGAATTCTAACACAATCTTTCTTGTGTTTGAACATAGAACTTACCACCACCACCGCTCTGTGTTCTTCCATTGACAGCGTTATGCTAACTTTAAATGACAGGATGATTGACAGACATGGCACTTTAGAAAGAAAGAAAACCTCACATCGCATGTCAGAATCTTCCAAAATGACACAGCCTAAAACTAGTATGGTCCCACTGTTTGGGAGTCATGTTTCCTTTTCAAACAATATGAAAGATTGTAAGACAAATGACAAGGGGCAGAGTGTGACAGGTTGAGGCTAGGTATAGTCACCTCAACCACTCATTTTTAGGATATTAGAAATGAATAGCCTTCGTGTTTATAGAATTTGTATGGCATACATGCTGCCAATGATTTGTTGGGATCTAATATAGCACATAACTGACAGAAGTCAAAATATTTTACTAAATTACAATCAGGCATCTTTTACTTCTGAGCTTTAGAAGGAAGATCATTTAAAAGGCATGAAGAAGAAATGTTTTCTAACATATCCAAAAGCAGAAGCTTAGATCATATTTACATAGATTAATGACACTTGCACAAACTTGAAGACTTTTTCTTCCTTATCTGACTTCAAAGACAGCTTTCTGGGGGATTCATTTTTAGTACATCACACTGACATGGAATCATCCATCCCATGCTTAATGGGGCTGGCCAGCATGATTCTTATGTGATTCAAAAATCTGTCTGTCCCTGGACTATTAAAGCTAGACCTCATGTCTCTAGTCCCATTCTGTCCCTAATATAACAAAGCATCTGTCATTGTGTGTGAGCCTTGAGGACTCCTGCTACTCAGAGAGCTGTACTTCATTTTCAAAAGAACCTCTAATGCACACCTCTCGAGCAAGCAGTTCCATTTCTGGTGTGTCTGGTTGCAGTTAATAATAGGGCACTTTTGTAACATCCTTCATGAGAATAAACAGATGAGATGAACAAATTGGCTACTGTCATTATTCCCCCTATATTTTAGAAGCTAATATTCTCTTTTTCACTCTCCTTCCCCCATAAAGGTTTCCAGTTTTTTTAGATCCTCTTAACGTACAGCTGAAAACAGAGTCCTCATTCATACACAGATGGCTAGCATGACTCACAAAGTCGCCAAGTGAAATG